GCCTCTATCTTTTCTTCCCCTGGTTCCTTAAGTTTTTGAAAAACTTTTTTTTAAAAGACTCCAAATTATAATTGATGAAAAAGAATTGTTGCCTTCCCATCAGTTTGGATTCCGCCGAAGGCATTCCACCATTGAGCAAGTGCATAGAATAGTAAATGTAATCAAGGAAGATCTTGAAAATAAACGTTTTTGTTCATCTGCTTTTTTGGACGTAGCCTAGGCGTTTGATCAAGTCTGGCACACAGGATTATTGTTCAAAATTAAAACTTTGCTGCCCCATACACTATGGAGTGTTGAAATTGTATTTGTCCAAACGCTTTTTTCAAATTAAATACCGAGATGTAGTTACAGATGTGCATGAAATTGAATCTGGTGTACCACAAGGCAGTGTTCTTGGACCTATTTTGTATATTTTGTTCACTTATGACCTTCCAAGTACTCAGGGTATTACAGTCGCAACATTTGCAGACGACACTGCTTTTTTTATCATAAAAATCAGGATCCTATTCTGGCATCATCAAACCTTCAGGCTGCATTAGACGATTTGTCTCAGTGGCTACAGAATTGGAAAATTTAAGTAAATGAAACAAAATCAGTTCAAGTTACATTTACTATGTCTACAAGAACTTGCCCCCCCAGTAACATTGAATAGTGGCATGCTTCCACAATCCAACGAAGTTAAGTAGTGTAATTTATAATAAAAACTCAGTGGATACGGCTCTCCACGCGTAGCTCAGAAAGAAATTTCCCTTAAAATAAAAGCCTTGAATTACTGTGTACTACAAATACTTTATGTAACGTACCATGTTACTTGACATATGAAATTTCCAACACTTTTTTACGTTAATTATTAGGCTAAATATCTGTTTAGTTTGAAATTATCTTTTAAGTTGACAGTTTAACAACAGTTTTAAACTTCCTAAAATCCCAACTCATACCTTCAAACACCCAAAAATTCCCAACTTTTACACTTTTAATCATTATTTATCGTAAAGAACAAATTAGCACAGCAACGCACGCCGGGTAACTGCTAGTATTTCAATAAAAACACACACCTCATTATCTTCCATGTAGTACTCATTAAAACGAATGTTATTTAAAAAGGGGAAAAAATCTGACAATTTGTAGATAATTTGCAGGTTTTCTGTGTCGGGGCTATTTTATAATATACTAGCTGTGTGCCCGTTCTACGCACAGGGATCTTATAGTAGTCAGTTGAAACATTATTATATAAAGAACAGCAGTTGGTTTCCATATTTTCAGATGTGCTGGCAAAACTATTATATATAAACCTATAATAATGAAATAATATAAAGGAAAGGCAAAACTTTTACAGTAAGACATCACTTTAATTGAATACTACTGTAATAAATAAGGTGAACACTAACGATAACTAATTTGTAAATAGTGATGAGTTGGTACGTAAAAATTATTCTTGTTGATACCACCGGTTCTAAGGAAAAAACCAGTACCAAAAACCAACGTTTACAGTTAAGAACTATAGTACATTCGACCAATTAAATGTGTTAATCCAGTTCCGAGGCTCTTGATCTCTCTTGGTTTTGGATTTTCTGACAAAAAGTTATCGAAAATCTAAGTTATTTCCCATTAATTAAATTATTTGTAAACAACTTTTAATGTAAACATTTTGGTGACAGTTTGGACAAAACAACCTCATCCAAACAGCTTTTTGTTATTTAAAAGATTGCGTATTCTCTAAACTATGTTTCGTATATGTAGTTAACATAAGAAGGAAATGTGAAAAAATCACACAATGTTGTGTTTAATTTGATTTCCTAAGTAGGGGTAGGCCATGTATTGTAGGGAAAAGTACCGGTATCAAGGATCGTCGTCGAATAGGTTGTCATGAATAATCGGGTAGGCCTACGTACCCAAGATACAGGCTTATAAGCTGTAGCCTATGGTCAGGGCCGGATTTCCCAATAGGCCCGGTAGGCCCGAGCCTATGGGCGCAAGGTCCCAGAGGGCGCACGACCGAGAGGATTTTTTTTATATCTAAAAATGAAAATAAATAGTCTTAGTTGATAAAAAAACTGCCTGTTTAAGCGTTGTGATTCTGAGGTTCATAAGAAGAAATAATTGTTAGGAAACTTAAACTATTTTTCAGAACCACGCATCAATTTTGTTACAAAATTGGTAGCGAAAACCGGTTATACGGGAGTAGGCTGTAGGGATGTTGACGTTGACGAGCGCCCTAGCGGTACCATCGTATTGCCACTGCACTGCCACTATGCTGGCTCGGGCTCGGTACTATCTGATCAGAGTGGTTAGGGGCGCATGCGTGGTAGACATTGTTACCACCCTCACTTCACAAAACAAAAGTTATTAACTAATACAAATATATAATACGTTGTTTTGAATATCAAAACAACGATGAATTTACCTTTAAAATTTACGAAAAAATATTAATTTCAGTTTGCATTAGATTTTAGAAAAATTCAATACCCTCCAAAGCACCATTAATGCTGTAATTTTCTCCTCAGACCTAAGGATCGGTATTGTTGGCCGGAATATGGTTCTGTTTTGCTTTGGAAATATAACCTAGATCATTGAATAGTCACAGCCTAGATGCAGTACAACCATAGATTAAATATAACTCACTCAAGTCAACTTCTTATGACATTGTTAATTCAAAATTTGTCAATGTCTAGTTTATGTTGGTGACACTTGACGTTAGTTATCACGTAATTTTGTTTCTATTATTTTAGGGTTAGTTCTATGATGTGGGTTTTAATTTCTTTTAATATAAACAGGAGACGACCTATTTTTAATGATTAGATTGTTTTATTTTGGATAAACTAGGTTTAAATATAGATAAAACATACTCCTTAAATAAAAAGAATTGTTTTCAGCTAGGCTAATCCAAAACGATGACAAATCTACTAAAGGAGTATGTTTAATCTATGGTATCACGTACTGTATGGAGTTCATGTTTTTGACCCTGAATTGGAATCAATGGCCATGTTTTTTTTTTTGTTTTTTTTTTGCATGAATGCTCGGTGAGTTGAGTTGTCTTGTTTCAGTGCCACGGCGGCCACGGCCACAAACGTGAGCATTTAGTAAAGGCATAAATTTGCTAAAAGTGTTTAAGACGGCATTTTGTTAATGCTAAACAAGTCAATTCTTAAAAAAAACTTGCAATGCAACGATTCCGACAAAGAGTGATATTCAAGCAATTAACTTAAGCCTATGGTCGTGATATAGTTTTTAATAAAGGTTTGAAGGAAAGTAACTGTGACCAGACTAGGGGGCGGAAAATTGTTTTGGGCCTAGGGGCGCAAAAATGCTAAATCCGGCCCTGTGTATGGTCCAGCGATTGCAGCACATAGCGGTGAGTAAAAACCGAAAGTGGCACATTGGAAAAGCGAGTTTGGCATCATCTGTAAACCGGCAAACCTCTGTTACAATCACCCACTGCAGTTATGGTTTTTCACTTTACACCTCACACAACCGCCATTTAAACGCCGTCAATGAGTGAAAACCTTGTTGTTGTTGTAAGCGATTGGCGACGATGATTTTATAAATGTAAGTTCCCAGCCCTATACAACACTGATTCAAGTTCTTTTTCCCGGTTATCAAAACTTTAGAACAATTTTATACACAAAGAATCTCTAATTTCATTTACGGTTACAATACACATTATTGAACTTTCGATTAATTAAATCCTTTATGTAAGGAAAATCGTTTTTAATCTCACTTGGTTTGGATTTTGCTTTCAAAACGTTATTGGAAATGTTTGCGCTATTTGTAAACAACATTTAATGTAAACATATCAGTGACAGCTAGAAAAAATAATCTTGATCCGAACAGCTGTTCGTTGTTTCATAGATGATATGTGATGGACATTGGAAGAAAACTTGACAAAAATCGAAATTGGGTTTTTAAACATCCTTAATTTTATTAAAAAAATAGTGAGGCCATATTTTAATGGCTAAAGACAATCTCACCAATCCAGTGAATACATTAAAAAGATTTGGATCTTGATAGGTACTCTCGTTTTTCAGGAGAAGGCCGCGTAAAATGCCTCTTGGGCCGTAACAGACAGACCGACAGACAGAAATAGAGATGAGACTTGTTTCGGCTTCTTAAATGTATAAAACGGAAAAATAATCAAAAAATTTATAGTTTTGAGCAATGTACAGACAAAACTCTAATTTTATTTATATAGATATTCAGCATCTGTAATTTGGTGTATTGATTTAAATCCTATCATGATACGCAATAATTTTAAATGTGAATTATATTAACTAGTTCATTAAATACATATTTGTATCACAACAAATAGATAATACTACTATAGTCTCCTTCTCTATTTTAGAGATAGTACATAATGTACAGTACTAATTGCACAGTTCAGTACAATTAGGCCTAGTAAATAAAACAACCAGCCTAATCTCAACCTCCAAAGACAGTGAAAGATTACTTTAGAGTACAAATTGGTTAGTTAAGTACAAATAATGTTTGATAAACAGTTACATCATTTTGAGCATCATGTTGGGCGGTGTGCGAGGGGGGGGGGTAAGAAGTGGTAGTTTAGCACGAATAATGTCCTATAAGGAAATAATGAGCACCAAGTTCTAAAAAAGAATGGTCCTATTCATAATTTCACTAGACTGAATTGCTTTTTATTTACTGGAGGTGCAGAGTAAGTATACATTTTTCATATTTTTGATGTTATGGAACGAAAATAAACTCATTTTTGTGGGGAGGATTCAGAATTAACACACTGTAAATTTAGTAATATAAGGTGTGTTGCTTTAGTCTTTTTTTGTCAATTTTTCCAAACTATTGAAGAAAATTTGGTAACAAAAATAAACACACACAATTAACACAATTTTTTGTTTTTGGGATCCAAAAATTAAACTTTCAGTGGTCCCACCCAGGAAAGATCCAAACAGAGACTACCACATAGCTAATTTCAAATAAGGGAAATTCTCTCAAAGATTTATTTTGGAAAAGGCAAGAATGTAACCATAGTCTTTAAAATGATTGACTATTTATTAACTTATGGAACATTTTAAAAATTGATTTATTTTAAACCTAGTTAGAGGACTTAAGCCCCAGCTCTAATAGGTGGAGAAACCAAAATCGCTCCATCACCTCGTACAAACAGCATCGGGATGTTTCGTTTTGTTGTTTTGTAGATCTCTTCATAAGTTTCTTCATCTATCTCGACTGTGGTCACAGTTTCTTCTACCTCGCCCAAAACCATGTTCAAATGTTGGTCATACGCCTGAAAGCAAAGTGACAAATGTATTTAAGTTTTGAAATCTTCATCGTAGGAAACCTGCAGGCTAAGCACATTTTTACAAAAATAAAAATGCAACAGCGCTGACTAAACTAGTTAAAGAGTAAAGCTACAGCTCCGAGGATATGTATAGAACGATCCCCACTTCGATATTGTCCTAGGATTCTGCCCCGTGGGCTTTCAAAGTTCTGAGGTGATTGATGTAATATCTTGACATTGATTTTGTATCTTAGGTAGCCTAACTAAGTGTTTACAGTCTGAGTTAACAAAAACTTACTATTATCAAGTTAAGTAATACAGTACAATTTTGTTTCTAAATTAAATGGTAGATTTAGTGAAACAATTTTTAAGCCATTTTTAAAGAACAGATAATGTCTCTTATGCATACTGACCCCATTGCAAGGCACGGATATAGCTGCTAGTATATAATAATTATGACACTACAGTGCGTTCAAACTGCCGTGGCACCTGACGGATCAGAGACCCTTGACTCTCGCACGCGCACTCACGAGCTTCTGGATCTGACCTGCCCGGCCAGGCAGATTACTCACCACTGGGGCGTCCAGTAAGCATATGCTAATTTTTACCAAATGAAATAACAAATTTTAATAAATTTAAGGGTTATATTCAAAATCTATATAATTAATACGCTCGAACACGAAGTTTGTCGGTTGAACTCCTCCGCCATTTCTTAACCGATTTTATCCATTGACGTCTCATTGGAAAGAGCGTGTCACATAGATTTGCAAACTGGCCTTACATTTTTGAAAAAGTCCCTTGGGCTCTGCCACAGTGGCTTTTAAAGTTGCCATGTTATCCTTATGAAGAACATAATTGTTTACATTTTGATCAGCAGTATAATTTGATTGCTGTTATTTATTTTTCAATTCAACAAAACGCATTGGGTACAATCTACTGATTTTGTTTAAATTAAATATTTACTATTTTAATTTACATTCGTACATATTACAATGTAAAAAATTGAGAAAGCCTGGCCAATTTGAAGTTTATTCCAAGAAATCTAAATGGATAAATTCTTCAAGCCGGAGCGCCTATCTTTGGACCCTAATGATCCCCATTCTGATCGTCAGTAGAAACATTGGAAAACCACTTTCAAGAATTTCATGGAAGAAATATGTGCTGCAGAAAATGATCTACTAAAACTTCAAACTAATTTTGTGGACTACAACATATATGAAATAATCTCAGAGGTTGATTCCTATACTGAAGCTATATCTATTCTTGACAAACTTTTTATAAAGCCTACTAACAAGGTATACAAGGTATATTCTCGTCATCAACTGGCAACTAGAAGACAGGAACCTGGAGAAAATATTGATCAGTATCTTCGAAACTCAAAGAACTTAGTAAAACATGCAACTTTAAATCTGTCACTGCTAATGAAAAGCGTAACGAGTACATAAGAGACGCTTTCATTCGAGGATTAATATCACAGTCCATTCGACAAAGACTTCTTGAAAATCTAACTTTGACTCTTGAAGAAGCTTATAATCAAGCCATTACCTTGGAATCAGCTGAAAATCAGGCGGTTTCATATATTTCAAGCCCTTGTAACTCTATATCTCAGTCAACTCCTAAAAATGTTGATGTTACTGATACAAATGTTTCTTAGGCAACTGTAATTAGTTCAAAATGCAAATTGAAGAAAAATATTTAATGCTTTAACAAACTAACATTCACTACTACACATCAGAACAATAAAAACTCTCTAGTAAATATTATTTTCTCCATGACAACCAGAATCAATAAAAATCATCTAAAGATAAACAAGTAAAAATGTCCACAATATCAAACAGCTGATAACTAATTTATATCACAAGCACACGCCCCCGTGGTGTCAACACCAGCACGACGGACATCAGCAATATGGTGTGGCATACCATCAACCTCTACGCTGGTTTGTGAGAGCTGCCGTGAGACCACACCAGGCTTCCATCTTGTAGTACATAGAGAGTTTTTAGGCTTGACAAAAACAGGTTCATCAGGTGAAAACTCAGTTCTTAGTTGCTCATCGTCACAATTTACAGGTTCGCCCTTACACCGCCACCTGTAGCAGAACAATTTAGAGCTTGGTGCCGACTCTTCATACAAATCTTCTTTTGGTGTTAGATTATACCAATATACTATTTCTTGAACACTTCTTCTGGTTCTTGTTGCCATTCTCTTTATCGTTCTATGGTTTCTTTCAACGATTCCATTGCCGGACGGACGGTTTACACACCTAAAACGACGGATAACCCCCCATTCCTCACATATTTGTTCAATTTGTTCACATCTGAATGTTGCACTATTGTCCATTAAGGGTGTTCGGCCCATTTTTTTAAATATTTAATTTTAATTTTTTTTCCTTACCAATTCATTAAGCTATTAATAAGAATGGAAAAAATGGTTTTTAAAATTTTTTCCCCCATTTATTAAGTGAGATATAGTGCTTTAAAGTGTACTCTCCTTTTACCGTTAAACTCAAGAACGGATGTAGACTGAGACACCAAAAATTACAAAAACCATTGTTTAATGCCCCTTAACTTCATGAGCTGTTTCAATTTTCATAAAAGCTATAAATAAAAAATGTGACATTTAAAAAAAAAAACACTACAATTATGCGGTTTGTGGTATTGCAACAAAAATTATCTCATAAGACGGACAACTAATGGAAGTATGAATAAAAAATTAATTACATAAAAAAACTTAAACGGTTTAGGGATGTAATGGTAAACAAAATATTGGAAAAATACAGTGGCGAGGCGTTGCGTGTGTGTACAGTGCCCAGACGCGCACTCACGGCGCGCGGGCGCACACCCGTCCCTCCCCGTTCCCCCGCGCCTACACCACTCTCACCTCGTTCCCGCGCGCTCTTCTCAACAACTAACTGTCTACCTGTCACCGGCCACGTGTTCGAGTTGCGTACGACAGTTTGTGTTTGTTGTGCAGCGATTGTTTGGTACCTTAGTGTTCAAGCTTTCATATATTTTTGAAAACGACTTTCCGTTCTCAATTCGCCCTCTATCAATGACCTGTGTTGCCTGTACTGTACAGCGAGGCATTTTGAGAAGGAGAAAACCGACCGAAATTATTACGGTGTACATTGTTTCAATGAGGGTGGTTTAATTATTATTAAGGATATTAGAACTGATAACGTAATCCTACTAATATTATAAATGAGAAAGTTTGGATGTATGGATGTATGTATGTTTCTGACAAGTAAACGCGAGAAATACTGGACGGATTGGGCTGAAATTTGGCATGATGATAGCTAACATTCCCGATTAATATATAGGCCTATTCTTATCTCAAAATTCCTTTAGGGCTCCGCCCCAGTGGCTCTGCAGTTCCCCATGTTAACCTTATGAGTATCATATATTTTAAAAAGTGACAGGTTTTTTATATAACGATTCTGAATCAACCACTTAACGGATTCTCATGATTTTTGTGTTGAAAGAAAAATAATTTTGAGAACTAGGGAATGATGTATAGTTATATAGTTATAGTTATAGTTATAGTTATAGTATAATTTGTATATAGGGAATGTCGAAGCCATAATTTTAGTTTAAGTCGTCAGTTTTTTTAAAAATTAAGTTTACAATTTTTTGAAGTCTAGCAGTTACTGTATACCTGTATACAAATCAAACCTCGCGAGTTTTCAAAAGAAAGCTTATTCCATCAACAAGTGACCAGTTCTTTTGCTCAAACGAATATTATTTTACTAGGTGAAACCCGTCGAAATCGACGGTTACTTTCAAGGCTTACGCTAATTCATCTAACTGCGATAAATTGAGTGAAATTATACATATTTTGAGCATTTAGAGCATATTTTGAGAAATTGGTTTTGGGGTTACTGTTAAAGCTGGAATTACTAGAAATGGGGGATGTCAGTTAGTGGTCTCAGCCTTATCAATTACATAAAGTTATCAATATAATCTTTCTACGGAATGTTAGGTGTAGTGGAATAAACTTGAAGTAATGTTGGCTTTTATTCTTGAACTGTTATTGGCCTCCTAATTTATATGGCGTGCAGCTTCATTGGCAAAAAATAATGCGAAATACATAGTAATGTAGCATTTCCAAAAAGCAAAAAATAATGTAAATTGTCTGTTACGTAAATGTTGATGCATACATTGTGAATCGACGTATCTTATAAAGTATGATGTGATCTAGTTTGAAATAAATACGACTTTTCGTCATGACAGTAGCTGATAAAATAGTATTTACTCATTGTGCCATTTTTACAGCCAAAATGTCGTTTTATTTTCAATAATGTAACCAAACCAGTGGGCCACGGTCCGTAATGTAGGCCACAGTAAATAATTTGTCCACATAGGTACCATTTTAGGCAAGGTTTCTGTGTTTGGATGTTATTAGAAACGGTAAGAGCACAATAAAATTCTACTGCGGATGAATTTTCTTTTGGAGAAATATAAGCCAATTTATAAATGTCACAATGCGAGTTTGAGCATTTTGTAACTATATTATACGGGTAAGTTACATAGATTTTTAGGCTGCTCAGTGCACTTTAAGAATATATAGTTTAGAGATAAATTAAATGGTTTTTGTTGCCGAGTAGCGCTAGTAAACATGCACAACCCTTCTCGTTAGTCTAATAACATTCAAAGGCTCTCTAAGATTTCAAGTTCTTATTTATATACATATCTGTACATTATTATGTTTTCCCTAAGCTGAATGAATACATCGAAGTAACCTCTCTGAAAAGTCTGCAGTGACTAATTGTATTGCGGTCATATTGATTATGGAAGAGGCAGGTATGCGATTGAATTGGAAGGTGATATCGTTTACTAGGCCTATACCAATGAATACATCTTTGTGTATTTATTGCCTATACACTTCTCAATTGATAATTACTCTACTGTAGGCTGCAATAAAATTTGTCTTTAAACGTGTAAGCTAGATGTTCTGAATTATACAGTTTTAACTGGCTACTCCCGTACATAGAACGGGCTAACACTTCG